TGCCTGTGTTGCTATCCCATCGCCATCAGGACTCTCGTGGTCTCTGCCGTCATGTGCTAACGCTGACATGCGTCAGCAGTCTGAATAAGTTTCCGGCTTTAGTTATAAAACAGTCAGAGCTGGGAAGAGCCCTGCTCCAAGCTCGGGCAATGCAGGGACAGAATTGATTAATCGCATTACCCATCACGTCCTTCGCTTCTCTGCTGAGCTCACACCGCCCGAGGTGCCTCTCGCCCTGCCAAAGCGTGGATCCTGCCCCTCTTCCATCATCTCGCTCTGGCCTTTGACCAGAAGGCAAATGGAAAAGCTTTTTGGTAACTTCCAGCTGATCTTGGCTGGGAATGAGTGACTCACAAAGGAAAAAATTCATTGCCGATTCCTTTGCAATCAAAGGTCGAGCAAAGCTCACACTGGGACCTGCGGAGCGGCTTTCCACGGTCTCACCGGTAACAGTTCGGGTGCCAGGCTCCTTATTCCATCCTTGTTTTTGTTTAGGAAGGCAGATTTGAAGGCCATAAATATTGTTACACATCTGGCGAGACACGCCCGAGTGGAAAATCCGTCTCGCTGAAGGTAAGCGGCTACAGGAGAGAGGAGCCGTCGCCTCTGCCTCCAGCCAGCCCGCAGCAGCCTCCGGTGCTCACCAGCTCCGGCTTCCTTTCCCGTGCCGCTTTCCAATGTCGAGCGTCAGCAACCTGAAAAGCTGCGCTGCAGTTGTGAAAGACAGTTTTCCCTATTTCCGTATGGTGGGAAGTCTTCATAAGGCTTGGCTTATTTTCCCTAAACATGTCAGGCTTTTCTTATTACTCCCCACATGCAACAATCCCACCCCCTCCGTGTGCCGAGCTCTAACTCCGTCCATTATTCTTCCCTTCCACAAATATTACTTCCATTGTAGCCTGGCTTTCCAAACTGCACAACCTTCTGGAATTTGCCACCTTTATGTGGAGGCCATTTCTTCCAAAATACAATGTCTACAAAAGCAAGGACTGCTCAGGGGAGAAAAAGGAAGGGATTGCAGGCAGAAACACTGTGACTTGTGACCATCCCGTCGTCTTCTCCTCTTGCACTAGGTCAGATGATTACAACTGAGCTACTGGAATAAAACCAAGTTCTAGAAAATGCCAAAACTTCAGATTTCAATAGGAAAAACTTATCTACTTGAAGAGAAAAACAAGACAGACATGCCAGCACTTTTCAAGCCAAATTTCATTTACTTAAGAAGACCTCAAGATGTTTCTTACACTAGCGTTTTGTTTGGGGGTGGGAGGGAGAGATGTTCCCCCCTCCTCCTTAGCTCACATCGAGGCAGAACAGCTCCTCTGTTCACACCGACACCGCAGTAATAAAAGAAAGAAAACAAACACAAAACGTGATTTCTCCTGTACTTGCTAAGGGTTTACTGTTTAAAGTGAGTTTAAAATCTTCATAGTGCTGCTTACTGTAACTTAGCAATGCTGGCTGTACATATGTCTGTCCAAAATACAGAAAAGCTGCTTAAGAAATGCATCAAAACTATTTTTTACTTTTAGGAGCAGCTGCCCAGCTACTCAATTCCTGCCAACAAAACTATTCAACATCTACAAGTGGAAAAGCGCAAAGATACTTAAACCTGAATGTCTTGACAAAAAAGGGATCCAATGCAACGTTTGCATCTGTAACTCTATGCGGATGGTGGTCTGCTATATCCAAAACATGCTTACAATCTAGGAATTATAAGCAACAGGCTTTAGAAATAGGCATAAGACAGGGTAAAGCCCAGAAATTGCTGCTCAAGTACACAAACAGATGAACAAATAAATGCTTTGCGCTTGTTAATTAAAATGGTGGATGCTAGGCTGTAATGAAAAAAGCCAAATGAACTTCTTCTAGATAGTGCTAGATATGCAAAGCATAGCAAGACGAAAAAAATTCTTCCCTCTTTGCAGAAATAGTTTACAAAGCAATTGCAGGACTTAGTACTATGATTAACGAAGGCCCTGATCACCTCCAAGGAAACCAGTGCCAGGGAGAAAGTCAAAGAAGTGCCATTTTATTTGGCATCAGAGTAAGTTCAGAGCTTTGATATTTGCATTTGTAATTCTGGGGTTGTTTCATTAGATTTTGAGGTTGTTCTGATGCTGAAAATTCTAACACAACTGCAGGAGCCCCAGATTTTTGGAAAGGACGTAAGTCTGCAAGATGCACTATCACCTTGCAACAGCTGCTGAAACCTTGCTTTCTGAATCAAAAAAACCCATCTCCAGCGTCGGGGAAGACACTGAAGATGTCCAAGAATCAAACTTGGTGCAGCAGTAAGGCACGCTGCAAGTCATCAGTCATTACATACAGTCTTCATCCACAGAAATCTGGGCAGGTTTAAGTTCCCAAACCTTTTCTTACCCAAAGTGAGACTTCATCTCCACCTGAAGAAGAAACTGGGGAATACATGTTTGTAAAAGTGACATAGGTACGACACCTTCATTACAATACCATAAACTCAGGCTACAAAACATTTTCAGTTGAAGAATCTCACAACTACATCGCTCTGTCTAAACTATTTCTGCATATTGAACACTTCGCTTTGGAGACAAGAGACTAATGAAATTCTTAATCTTGTCAGCGATGCCATAAGCCACTCATCAAATGAAGCTAACTTATTCTGAGCTCCCAATGAGGATGTCAAGAATTTGCTGTTTCCTTCATGTCTTTAGTCTAAAGATTCAGTGTTTGAGTAAAGAGAAAAGATGATAGACCGCATCCCCACTCCTGCTCCTCCTCGTCCCACGGACATGCCCAGCAGTAGCACGTCTGCTTAGACCTTTCACAAAACAGGCAAGTTTGAGTGCTGTGCACTCCCTGCCCGTGGCATGAAAAGATGAGGAGAAGGCAGGAAAAGATGAGGAGAGAAGCAGTAGGATGCATTTCCTTGATCCAACGTATGTGCAAGAGCAAGCCCTCCCTTGCAGGCATGGAGCAGCATGGTGTGCATGCACGCATGGGTGCACATGGGACGTTTACGACGTACCCTGAGCAGCTGGTTTTTAAAAAACACCTGAATTCCTCCAAAAAGAGCTCTGCATCTTCATTTAGGACTATTTCTATACTAAATTCCCCAGTTCAAACCCTAGCGCTTCACTTACACAGGATAAATGGGTTTTATTTGCTTTAATATCCCCACTGCTTTTTTCATGAGCCATAAAGGAGCTGGACAGCTCGAAGTTTGAGGTCCAAATATGAGGTTATAAATTTTAGTTCTCTCGACAAAATAACAGCTTTCCTGCACCTACAGTCACTGGACTTAACACAGTTGCCAGTTTCTGAAAGTCGGTTTAATCTAAGAGTCATCTAATGTGGGCTGACTTATGAACGCAAACACAAGAAGTATGTTTTCACAAAGAAAGCGCATCATAATTACACATTGGTGTACGGTTTTGGGTTTATTTTATTGGTGAGGTATCATGGGGTTTATTTCAATAATGCTTTATTTTATTTTTAAAGCAATTCTGGTCATGACGACACACTTACTACTACTGGAGATCACTCTGCAGGTCAGCCTTTTTCATATAGGATTATATCATTCCTATTTTAAGTTTTTCATCTAGCCAAGCTTAGACATTAGAGGAAGAACTTCATTACCTAACGGTCTAGATATACTGTGCTAACTGGCTTCTCAAAATTAGATCTCAACTTCTTTCTAACGCAGACTTTTACCAGATTCAGTCATAGCTTTAACATAATGAAGTACGTCCAGCAAATCTGAATGACTCTTTTATATTTTTAACAGACAAATATTTAAAGGCACGGGCAATTACAAGGAAATAACAGAAATATTTGTCGCAGAAATTCTCCATCTTTTCCTCTTGAATGTACTAGGCGAACCGCGGATGCTGTGACGGTTCTTGTGCTATTTGTGCATGAACGCGTACATATAAAAACACGTGTATACGTACACACACGCTTATTATGCACACATATGAGTGCATATATAAATGTCTTTACATGCATGCACCATCCCACACCTTTGTCCTGAAGAGAACGCAGAGGACCCACTAAGGACACAGGCATTTGCTGTCCATCAGTCTTCAAACAGCAACTGTTCTTACAAACCCAGGCTCCTATCTGTGTTTGAGAAGTCTGTAAATAATACACCATTAACTTTTAATCCTATCTTCCCCACTCTGACACGTATTTTGTATTAAAATGAAAGTTATATAAGGTTGAATTGAGGTTGCTTTTTAATATTGCATTAACGCTATTTACCATGTGCAGCGCTAATCCCCCTTTGAAAAGAGAGCATATTAGCAATTCTGAAAGCTTATGTTACCATAGCAATAGTCTATCACCGTGAAATATTTATATAATGTCTAACGTTTCCACTATGCAACAGCCATCTCCTAAACTGTACTTCCTACTTATCCTGTGCCTTACGTTTCCTCTCCATCCCGTGCAACAGAGCAGCACAAAGCGCCCGCCCAACGCCTAACTTGCACCGTGCAACTCCCAAAAATCTCATGGAGTGCAGACCCACTCGCACCCGCTGCATCTGTCTTTCCTATTCCCGCAGAGACAATAAGGTCCAAATATTTGGTTTGCACCTTGCGCTGACGGCGTACATCCAGCAAGCAATTTATATGCCATTCTACTCCCAAATATGTGATATCAGTAACAGGTAACTTAAAAAACCTTCTGTTGTGTTAAATTCTACTGAAATTTCCTAAACGCAGGAAAAGCAAGCCACCTGTTGGCGGTAGGGCACAGAACTTCTGAACAGATGTGGATGGGTGGATAACATTTAACATGACACCAGCTTACCTTGCTTTCTCTCCTCCACACTATCCACCCTATGCCCCCTTTTAAATCTTGGCGCTCGCATCCCTTTAGAAAAGATCATTCTCTAAAAAGGGGGTTACCGAGTCCAGCACAGTATCTCCACCCCCAAAATAAATTAGTTGGTGCATCTCCTCCTGGTGAGGGGATGCTTTCGCACGCCACCCAACGCAGGGCTGCCCATCGCTTACTTTGATGTGCTCGTGCAGCTGGGCCTCGTGCTGCCGGGAGAGCTGCTCGTGCTGTCGCTGGAACTCGGCGATGAGGATTTGTCTCTGGATCTGTTGTTTCTGCTTCAGAGCCAGGAGTTCCTGCTGGAGCTGCTGTTCCCGCAGCGTCGGTTCTGTCACGGGCATGGAAAACTGGTGGTCCAAGCGGAGATCCATCGGGACTGAAGTCGGTGCAACTTGCAAGGGCAGTGCTGTGGTCACATCAACTGCAACGTGAAAACGCAAAAGGAGAGATGAGTGTATTCCCGATTCACACAGGGATCTAGTTCTCATACTGCGTCCAGCAAAGACCTTGAGGAACCATGGATTGAATCCAGAAGAGCACCATTACACTCCCACCATTTTTTAAACGGTAAAAGTAGCACTACAGGAATTCAGAGTTCAAGAAGTTTTCCTCCAGCCACCACCTCCTACAAATACATGCATTTTCTAAAAGCAAAGGACTTCAATGCATCGTGCGTGACCCTTCTTGATACCATTCTTCATTTGCGTATTCAAAACATACACATCAATTCCACCCTTCCAGCATCACTTGAAATAAGAAGGATACAGATTAATCTAAGACTTCACAGAAAGGATCAATCTTGACTTAAGATGGATCAATTGAGGGACTCCAATGGTCAGGAACATGAGAGTCCCGCTTTAAAAAACTTATGCAGAAAAACACTATGTGCTGTATCCCTTCATAACCAGTTTTGGCAAGCAGCTTAGCGAAAAGTAAACAGGTAATGAAGCATCTAGGAAAAACTGTTATCTAGGAAAAAAAGTCTGTTGAGCAGGTAGCAATAGGAAGCTTCTTTGCTTACACAAAAAGCATCTCCCTGAAAACAAGGGGCTTGTGGTAAAAAAGGGCAGCGACAGACATCTATGAAAAACACCTTTGCAACAACTGAACTTAGCTTGTTTTGGCTAATAAAAAGAAGTACTGCCATTCCACAAATGACTAAAAATTTCTAAATTCCACCTGAATGACAGTTCTGCGCTTCACAGGTACTCCGTACATTTGCCACATTCAACGCCTCTCTCTACAGGGCAATCACTCAGTAACTCTTCTGATACCTCTGAATGAATATCATCTGCAGAATAAAAGAGGTTAACCCTTCAAAAACATTGAGCTTCGATAAAATTGGAAAATAAAGGGCCTTTTTTTTCCCTTGGTTGGTTGGGGTTTTTATTTTATTGAGTGTTTTCTTTTTTAATATTTAAGATGCGTTTGTGCAAGGTTGGGAGGGAGCATGAGCAGCATCACTGAAGCTGGATCAGTCACACATCTGCTAAGACACCTAGTCCTCGTAAAAGGGTTACCCAGGCTTTGCCGAAAATCCCTGGGGAAGGTTATGAGATCTCTCGGGGGGCAGAGATGCCACGCTACTACAAAACTATGGGTACAAGCCACCACGAGACCAGCCCCAACAGGACAGACATCCTTCCAAAGCAAAAGTAAAGGAGGTTCTACTATGCTAAAGCTGATTTCTCCCTGCCTACAAACGAACTAGCTGGTGAAATAAACTCCAATTCAAAAGGAAAAGCACGGAAAACGTTTCGGAACTGCAAAAGGTTTAAGGAAAAGTTTTACTAAGTAAGAAGGACCACCAGCTTTCACCACCTGTACACCGCCCGTGAAAATAATACTCGAAGAGGAACTTCCATTTTATACAAAATTAAACTCGTATTTCACTTCAAGCCTGATCATTAAACCCTAGGTCTGATTTCAGCCACCTCCTCAAGGACGTGAGACAGGAGTGAAGAACCAGTTGACTCTCTCCTTCCAAGCAGCGTGTCCTCAGGGGTCACCTGAAATCAACTGTAAATCGTTAGAAATAAATGAAGACCCTGTGCTGAAGGCGGCATGAAGCACTGGTCACACGAGTCACTTCACTGTCACCGTTCTCTGCCATCCCCCAGAGAGAGTCAGAGCGATACCCAATAAATACCCACACGTCACTTCTAGCAGGACATTAGCATCATCGATCCCAGACAAAAAGAGTTCTAATACGGTTTTCCCCAAATGCTATACATTTCTTTAGTTTTGCAGTAATTCAGAAACACGTAAGAAGTTGATGCTGGTAAAATCTGAAGCTAAATGAAGCACAGAAAAAGAAAATGAAAATTAAAAAAAAAAATAATAGAGGAATAATTCAGAAAAATCTGGGGTGTTTTGTAAACATGTAAACCAAAATGCATTGCCCTGCTGCCAAGTGAAAGGTCAGAATTTAGGGATAACCAAAAAGGCAACGCCATCCTGGACGACAGCTCCTTGGAAAGGGGGATGTTGAGGAAAGTGGCGGGGTTTTCAAAAGCAAGACCAGACCAATGCTGCTAGAGCTGAAGGCAGAAAACAAAAAAACCCAACCAATCAACCAACGAAAAAATCCCCACGTACCAAGAGGTGAATGTAGAAATTTTGCTGGGTCTACACAAGACCAATTTCAGGGAGAACGTCAACACTTCTTCAAAAGCAGAGAAATAAAGTTCAGCAGAGAAATATAGCTTAGTGTAGGAAATGGAAAACATGGTAAAAAAAAAACAACACCAAAATACCATTGCTTGCATTTGAAAATAAAGATGCAAAAAAGAGGGGGAAGGGTGTTGCAGAGACAAAATTATCTCAGTTGAGTGAAAGAGTTGCAGAAGGGGGGCTGTTGTTTCATGTACCCCACAGCTGGTCATTCCTCTGGAAACCTTGGGTGCCGAGGCTGGGAAAGCAACGCTACCCATCCTCCCATCGAGCCCAGGGCATCAGCGGACACCCAGTGCCCCACCACACCGTCCCTCCAGCCCAGCACCCTGTGGGCAGGTCCTGCCTCCTGCACCCCATCGCCGGCTCCGTCACAGATGACCCCCCCAAAGCCGGCAGGAGGGTTGTAGGAGCACAGTACGCGTGCAAGAGCGGCATGCTTCCCCCTTCCTACGCTCAGCTTGTGCTGGGGAGGAGGAGAGGTTTGATGGGGTTTTTTTAGGGTTTTTTTTTTTTTGATGGAAACATTTTCTGCAAAAGGTCACATTACTGGAAGTGTTGCTATTTTTCAACCCACAAGCTCTTCCCTCCACTTCCCTATTGTTTTCCTTCCTGTGGCCTTTTCCCCACTCGCCTCTCTCCCCCGCAAGACCAGAGCTTGGGATTCCTTGCCGTGGGTCACCGAGCCACAGCCAGAGATTTCGGGGAGAATGCCACGCTCTCGCCTACAGATAACCATTCGAACCCACCTAAACAACACGTTCCTAAGCTCTCCTTGGGAACGGCCAATGCTTTCCTCCGTGGTTGGTACCGTGGTCAACCCTTTCCCATTCCTGCCCACGGAGCATCCCTATGGCAACTGCTGCAGCCGCTCGCGCAGAAAAAAACCCCTTCATCCGTCTTCCCCGCACGCGAGTGGGAGCTGACAGCTCGAAACCAGCCCTGCGGAGGCTATCTCGTTTCACGGACTACCGCTTCAGAAACTTCTCATCTTAGATATGATGCTTTAAATTAGATCCAGGTTTGCCAGGATTTCAGAGCGACAGAAGAACGTTTTGGATTCCTCCAGCACTGCTCAAGCTCAGGCAAGCTCGTAACGGCCGTATATCTACACGGTACCTGCCCCAGCAGCACGGTGTATGGGGTTAAAAGGTGCAATCGGAAACCATCAGGTGTCCCAAGGACTGTGGGGAATGGGATGTGTCCTGGAAAAGTAAGAGAGTGAAGTTTCCATGCCAGCAAAAATCCCATTACTATGCTGGATGTATATGGAAAGTGGGAAGAGAGAGAAGAAAAGGAGGTCTTATGCAAACTAATATGTATTTGTACAAAACAAACAAAAAAAGCCCCCCAAAAGCAATCTACCTTCAAGAATACGATGCGCCGTGGCTATCAAAACCCCATTTTAACCATCTGCATATGGATACTATATCCTGAGTATTACTAATGTAATTACTGTATGTTAGAAAAGACGCACGGTGATTATCCTTGGAACAGCAGCGATTTTATCGGCGGGGGAAAACTCCAGGGGCTGCCGTACCATTTCACCAGGGGCAGTGACTTTAGATCCACCTTTAAAAGAAGTTGAAACAGAATTGTACAACTCAGCTCGGTCTTACCCCACCGAACCAAACGTATAGGGATCACTCCAACGTAAGGACGTGACCCGACCATCAGCAACGCACGGGATCCACCTGGAAATGATGTCCAGGCAAGCGCTGGATATGGAAACGAGCATGGAGTTGCTGAAGCTCTCCTACTACTCCCCCCTCCCTCCCAAATTTTCAGATAAATACCCCAGAGCTCCAAAACTCCCCAAAGATAAATTTGAGTATGATTTAATGCAACTTTATAGCCCCCAAGGCTCCAGGAGAGCTCGAAACAGTTAATCCTAGAGGATCAAACCCAATGAGTCAGTAAACCAAACAGTGCAGCGGGTTCCGTGAATCACAAGCCTTTTAAATGCATTGGCTATTTTTATGTCCAGCCAAAGATTTCCGAGCACCTGGCAATAACATCTCCCATCTTTTACACATATGGACTAAAGGTCAGCGTTACTAATACAGCGGTAGCAGTCGCTCCTGCTTACCCAGTCTCCATGTAAATCTGTTTATCTTCAATACAGCTTACTGAATTTGTCAACGCTATTTAGGCTAAATGTAATTTTCCTCGAAATCCGCGTGCGTTTTCCTACACGCACCTTTATGAGCCAAACACTGCGTTTCCTAAAAGCAGAAAATAAAAGCGTTCAACACGTTAAAATAAATCCAATTTCAGCCAGAAGGAATACACTACTACTTGTGGTTGTGTCTTGTGATAAATAACTCCTGCTTTACTCCCTATAAGAGCCTTAACTTGCACCGTGCTGGCTAACGATCCTGAGAAAACTTGACAAATCTCCCATTTCCCATCCAAAGGGACTCATCCCCCCCGAAACGCCCGACATGTGGGCATGGGGCGCCAGCTGCAGAGATCACGACCACAATTCCCATTCAGAGTCTCGGCAGAGGCTGCGTCATCCCCGACTCTTACTATTTCAGTCTCCAAAAAAATAAAAAAACCCAACCCCTTTTTGAAATGCCATGAGTTCCCCATAGAAGCAGTGAGCACTTCTGACCTACAGAGCCCTCCCGAAAACAATAAAACCTTCTCTGCTTAATGAACACATCATCAAAACAAAAAAGCCTGTATTCTTATGAATATTTTATGGTAGACTAGAAAATTGCTTTTATAGGTTCTGCCTTGAGA